CGATCTTGAAAGTAAACTACCACTACCGTCCAAGTCCGATTCAATCATCTGTTTTCCACCTACGGCAAACCTTGTGTCTACAAGGACACTTCGTTCTCGCAAGAAACCTCTTCCACCACCTGCATATAACTCGAATGACGACGATGAAGACATTTTTGATGTTGGATCTTCTAGTTTCGATGATTCTACAGTCAGTGATACACCACGTATCACTACAGCACCCTCTCCTAATATCTTCAATTCAAGTGCTTTGCAACGTGCGCAAACATAGGATGCAGATATTCGTCGCATTATTAACCAACTGAACAACAACCGTCATATCCAAACTAAACTGACCTCTTCTTTCATCATGAAGAATGGCATTCTTCACAAACTCCTTTCTCTCACTTCTCACTCCATTCGAAAAGCTGCTGTACCTTACCTCCCTTCTTCTCTGGTAAGATCACTTCTACAAGCAATGCTGATGATCCTTACTACAAACAACATTTGAATCAAAATTAGGAAATTTATTGTATTTTTGACGAAGAAAATCAAGTTCAGATCTTCAATTATCAAGACAACTTAGGGTGTGAGTGTGTGTATAGGGATAGCTCTTGTCTACGCCCACACCCACACGCACACCCCACCAGTGCATACACTGACACCGACTGCGCTTGTTGCACTGACGCACACTGGAACAGATAAGAATTCTGTCTCTTACGAAATCTTACTTTCTACGAAACTCGAAAGGGTTTCAATTTCGCTTCAAAAATCGAAACTTTTTCGAGTTTCGTAGAGTACCTTTTTTCCAGTGTATTCGGGTTGCACAACATCACTAAGAGTAAATAAAGCGAAAAATTTATGTAATCGTAACGATACAAATAGTTTTACAAAGTCCACATAAATTTTAAGAAACGCTCATCTTCTTTAAATGAATCTGGTTGAGTCATAAAATACCGTAGTTATGTGTCAATATTAGGATTATAAGTAGCGTATTTCATTGAAATTGACTTTATTATTCAAAATTATAGATTACTTAAATGAATCCTACTTTTTGGAGGAATAGGTATGGTCATTTCGCTAATTTCGTTGATAATTATAAATAAAGTCACGAGCAGTGCATACTTTGATAGAGTCGGTGACTTGATACTTCAGTGAGCATCACTGTTATAGTAAACCCTGGCATCGGTGCAGACAGTGGAACCAGTGCAATCAGTGCCAGTGTATGCACTGATTCAGTGAACACCAGTGTCAGTGTGTCATTGCAGTGGCATCACTGTCAGTAATTCACTGTTTTCACCGAAACTGCACATCCTTACACCCACACCCCACACCCACAAATTATATTTAAACTTTTTTCTGAGTTATTATTCAAATCATAACACAAAAACAAGCAAATATTTGCTGCTTTTCGACAAAATATATATAAAAAAAAAAATATCTTCACGAATTTTCAGGTGTAGTAATAGAAATTGGTGATATGATTGGATTTTTTTTTAGTTTTACATTGGCTTCTTGTCGTTGTAACATTTCAGCAACAGCATGATGAAAACCTGATTGATTAAATAAAAATGCACTAACATGCCCATGAGGAATATATCGAATATGAACACCAGGCCATACATCGTTCATATGTGGAATACCATTACGTAATATATAACCATCATGTGTACAAGCAATAAACATAGCATTAGATATATTTGATTGAATTGGACGTGAATAATTATGTAAAGATGTAAATTCATCCATAAGAAGACGCATCATATCTTTAATAGGATCGAGGACAATTTTATTTGAATCTATTGATCGATTTCGTTCACGTAAATAATCATAAAATATTTGATAGGCTTTATTTTCATAGAATTGCCGTTTTAAAAGAGACCATGGAATAGTACGCGAAAGTACACCATCACAAAATACTGTTGAACTTGATGACCAAGAAGCACAGGATAAAAGAGAAAGTGGACCAGGCCAACTAAAATATAAAATATATACACAATGGCTACCTAAATTATTCAACTTTTACTCAACAAAAAACTGTCGTAGAGAGCTCAGGTACTAGATACTGAGAAATTAGTCTTTTAGTTTTCTAAAAATTCTACTTTAGCGAAGCAAATAATCAATTTGTTTAATTTATATTCTTTTTGTAATATGGTTTGCTCTACTTGAATCACTATTTGAAATTATGATAGATACTGTATATCTATTTATTAAATGGATCGAATAATAGAATTGAATCTTACTTTGTAAATGCTAATGAAGCCATATGTCCACCAAGAGAAAAACCATGTAAAATAGCTGGTGTTAATTTCATTTTTTGACACCAATGAAGTAATACAAGTGTTTCTAAAATAAGTGCTTTACCCATAATATATAAATCGGTAACATACAATAATGATGAACGAGATTGATCTGGTGGTTTTCTTAAACCATAATATGGATTTTCAAGAAGAATTGAACCTATACGATATTGATTAATTAATGGGACTGCAGTAAATAACCGTCGTCGACTAAAACCATGATCACCTGTTCCAGCATAACAAATTCCTATTGGAATTGAATCAATACCAAAACGATGATCACGTGGTAGAACAAGTTGAAAATAAGCTGTAGCTACTTGAGGTGGAACCTATTCAGATAAATATATCAAAAGAAAAAAAGATAATATTAATTAAACAATTAAAATGATTTTAATTTCTTACCAAATGTGGTAAATAATTAGCAAGTGGTGAACGAAATCGACCATTTATATAATTTTGATTACCTTTTATTTCTTGTTTAATTATTTCAACAGTATTTTCTTGTATATTTTCAGCTGGTACAAGTTTTAAACATTCATCTCTGACACCAATTTTTTCACGTCGATATGTAAAAATTTCTTGTAAATGAAATGGATTTCCCCAACCACGTACAAATGATTGAGTTAATATTAAACGTCGAAAGAGATTATCGAAATTTATCATTTCAATCGTACTCGAATCTTTAATATCATCTAGAGAATTGTTGATTTAATCTTCTTTTTTTTTTTTAATCAAACAAAAAAAGAACAATACAATGTTTTAGTATTCTCAATAGTTTATAAACACACACACACGCATACAAAAAAAAACCTCTTATATGTTCTTTTTATTTTCCTAACTCAATCTCGCTAGTTTACTATGAAAATAAAAAACAATATTTTTTATTACATAGCACCAGTAATGTTAAGTAACATTTGAGGGCCATGTGGTAAGTAGACGATATTTCTTGATTTTGATAATTGATTTGCAATATCTTCAGCGGCTTCAATTCGTCGAAGTTCGATTAAACCTAACATGAATATTAAAATAAAGTAAGACAAGATAATAAAACATATTCGAAAATTTACCATCACCAGCTTCACCTAAAGCTTTGCCAATCAAATCAGCTGCACGAGCATCACCTTCTGCTGCAATAACATTTGCTTGACGACTTTGTTCAGCCTGTTTTTTTTTATCAAAAAAAAGAATCATACAAATTTTATTCTTATTCATTTACTTTTTCGACTAAAAATCGTTGTTTTTCAGCATCTTGTTGTGCAACTTGTTTTAATTCAACAGCACTTGTAAATTCAGGTCCAAAACTTAAATGCGTCTAATTTAAAGAAAAAAATATATATAATCAACTCGAGATTGGTTTTTTTGTCGTATCTTACAATTGAAATATCATCAAGTAATAAACCAAATTGAGCAGCGCGTTCTGTTAATAATTCACTAACACGTTGAGAAATAAGTGTACGTTGTGTAATCAATTCAATAGCATCAAATTGAGCCTGATAATTAATTTAATTATTCATAGTAACAAAAACGAAAGTATCTGAGACTTACTACAACAGATTTTAAGACTTCATTAGTAATCGATGGTAAAACACGTTCTTCATAATCCAAACCCAAATTTGAAAAAATTTTCGGTAAAAATTCAGCTCGTGGTCGATAAAGAATACGTAATGTTATATTAATTGTTTGTAAATCTAAAATAAAAATAATAAAATATAATTTATGCTTTTTTTTATTTACACGAAGACGAAACAACGGAAACTTCCAGCTTTAAATTTTATGAAGTATCCTAGGATTGGTGAATGATGAGAGTGTAGAGATGTAAATCGATCGACTGAGTTGCCATCGATGCCCGCAAAGTTTTTTAAGATACCTCAGCCATATATATTCATTGATGTTTCAATAGATATTATATTTACCGTCATTTTTTCCGCGAGCTTACATTTTCGGTACTGAAGTTTCCTCATGCTCACCTATCTTCTGAAGTCGACTGTTTTTCTCTAGCTTTTATACCTTTTGTTCCTGTTATTGATGGAACAGATCGTGGTCGTGTACGAATATCAAATATAATTGGTCTATGAAGCCATGGAATCATAAAATGAGTTCCTTCTCCAATAACATCTGGTTTAACACCTTGAAAACGATCAAAAATAACAGCTCGATGACCACCATCAACTAGAATATATTTATATTTAAATAAAACAAGTTTTCTTTTTTTTTTTAATCTTTTCATTACTTACCATTATAAAGCATAGAATTAATCACACCACCAGCAATAGCTAAACCAATACCAATTCTTCCTAGAATAATAAATTTTTCTATCTAAGTAAAATACTATCTCAATATCTTACCAATATTATTCAATAAACGAGATGAAGCCATTGTCTTTTTTTTTCTTCTAAAAGAAAAACATGCATAATTATAATCAAATAAAATTTGTTTAGTTGTTTTGTTTTTATTAGCAAATAGTTTCAAAAAACAAAACGAAACCATATGAAAATTCATCATATCTCTATCGATAGAAAAAGAAAATGCATCACTATTTAATCTATCTATCTACTACAATAACAAACCAATGTAATATATACATAGCAAAAAGATTAAATAACAATAAACTTTGAAAGCAAAAAAAAAAAAAGAAACACATGCATACTTTTAAACAAATCGAAATCCACTTGAACAAATATGAGCACCGTTTTTTTTAAACAAAACGAAAAAGAAAAACAAAATGTGTATAAAGTTTAGCACCGTTCAGATATTGTTCGTCGATTCGATTGTCGACCTTGACCACGATTATTACGTGTCGGAAAATATTCACCACTAGTTTTTAATGAATTTGATATATCACTGTTCTTTGCTGCTGCAGCAGCAATTGCTTCGGGTGCTGGAACAGTCTATAAAGAAATTATTTATATCATACAAAAGAAAAAAAAAAAAGAAATGTTTTCAATTACTATAATTCCTGATTTTGTTGGAAAAAATTGTTGTGGAAATGATGCACCATCAACACGAAAATCTTCAAGTTTTTTATAATTTTTTAAAATTTCTTCAAGTTTTGGATTAATTTTTGGTTTTTGTCGAGAATATTTTAAAAATGCCCAGAATTTTTCTAAACCATACAATTGACCTAAATAGAAATAAATATTTTCTTATTAACACTTTATTTTTTATTTTTTTTTTGTAATCTATTTTATTACCAGCTTCATGATCACGAAGAGTTTCTTGTTGAAAATCTTCAAATAAATGTTGACGAAAATGTTTTTCTAGACCATATGTATAAAATCGAAATAAACATTCAACACCATATCTATAGATTAATAATAATAATATTCAATTTTTTCTTATTATTTTTTATAAAAACAATTCATTTATATACCGATGACCAGTTTTAGCATCTTCAACAGCATATTGTTTAAATTCATTGTACATATGACGATTAAAATTTTCACGTAAAAAAAATGACCAAAAACGATAGAGTGTATTCATTTCCATTGATTGACCAGGACCACATTTAGCACGTTCTAGAAATTAGATCATAAGAAAAACAAATGTATTCGATCTGTAAATCAATATAATTTTAGATTATAAATATTTTCTATGATGTAATAAATTTTGCCTAGTGTTTTTAATCATTGAAGATTATTTTATTGCTTTTCAAATTTATGATTATACGATAAAAATATGTCAAAAAGTAAATTATGTCATTAAATTGCCAAAATCAAAGTCATGTAAATAAGAATATAAATCTTTTTAGACTATGACTTTTACCGGAGAGTAGTTTTCGCTATTGTTTCTTGATATGTTTGACTCTTCTTTAGTCATTAAAAGACTCAGTTTTTTTTACGTTCAATGTAATATAATTTCAATCGTTTTTTTCCAGTAGCTTGTTTCTCTCGAAATATTGTAAATATGTATTGAACTGATAATCTTTTTCTTTTCTCTACAATCAACGTTTGTTTTTTACCATCAAAACATTCTTGTTTATATTTAAGATAAACTTGTTGAGTAAAACCATTTTGTTGTAAAAGTGTATGAGATGGATGTTGAAATTGAGGAATTTCCACCGGTGTTGAACCATAAAAATCATATGAATTTGAATTATTTCCATGCCAATAATGTGAATCATTGTATGATGATGAATATTGATCATAGAAATCTTGTTGTCGAGTTCTAAATAAGAAAAAAAGACTCATTTTTATACTAATAATAATTAACATTTAATTGTTTGTATTAGGAAAAAAAAATAAGAAAATTCGTCAAAAATAAATAAAGCAACACAAGTTATTTTTTACTATATCCATTTACCTTACCCATATTGAACGATAAGAAAAATGATCTTATTATCTGTAATAAGTAAAGTGAAAGTAAAACGTTTAGAAATGCAATGTGTTTGACTTCTTGTCTTAATGATAATAACTACTATCCATTTCAAAATAAGATGTACTGTACTGTTTTTTAAATATCAAAATTTCATTGGCTAATTGGATAAGTTCTTGGCGAAGATTTTCGAAGGTTCCGAATCTTCTCTCTTGAATAGTGAAAACCGAAGATCTCTATGATGTTTCTATCAAAAGTTATTCAAAAAGAAAACAGTGGGGCACATTATATTTTGAAATGGGTAGTAAAACAAATCAAAGAATCATTAAGGAAAAAGGTCAAAAATACTGTATTTCTAACTTTTTTACCTCCATCTGAAATCTTTCTCAAAGTGTTTACTTAAAATGAATGCAAAGAATTTTAAAAAATCTTACGTAGTACTAGTTACTGTATTGCTTCGTTGTTTTGTAGTTGGATGACCGCGTGAATCAAAAACCCAACCAACTGAACTTTCTATTGGTGGATGTTCACTATGACGTGTTTTACGTTTAAGACCAGGTGTCTAAAGACAAGAAAAAAAAAAGAATTTGAATTTTATTATTTGTTTAAAGAGAAATTTTACATCTGGTTTAACAACAGGTGCATCTTTAGTAACTGGATAAAATCGAGCAACATGTTTTGCACGTGAATGCGGTGTTCGTGGGTCTTCTGTATGTGTATGAGATGTTTGTTGTTTATTATTTGTATTGATATTTGAAATATCAGAATTATTCTCCTTTAATTTTCGAAGATTATTTGGTAATGATTGAGATATAAAATCATTTGTTGGTGAAGATGAAAGATTTTGTTGATTATTATTAGGTAAATGTTTAGGACGATAGAATGGTTCAACTTGTAGTGGTAGACAATTATTGGAACGAATAATAGTAATAGCTGGACTACGACATTGATTTTCATTAGTCACATTTGATTGATTATTTTCTTAACAAAAAAAAAAAACGACTTATTTTGTTTACAGAGACAAAAAGAATTATAAGAATTGAATATATTATGCTTATTATTAAATAGCTAGAGTTTAATAGATGATAAAATATAGACAACTTAGAGCCGCTTGTTGACTAAGAAATTGTAAAATTTGACTAAGTTCAATAGATCAGGTATTGTTTACTTTCATACTTTCAACGTATCTGTCACAATATCTCTCATCACCGACACATATTAACGGTACGTAATAATTCACAATCTCAATCAAAATGTAAACAGTTGAATAGCGTTTCATATTTTGACTAAACAAGGTTTGCTTTTAATCTTTTTCGTTGTCTTAAACACTTTCAAAATATCGTAATAGTACTTGAAATAGAGAAAATTATGTGTAACAACAATTCACGCAAAGAAAAATAGTTAGCAAATTTCCAAAGAAGAGATCTCCAGAGAACAAAAGCCTTAATTTTCAGCATATGGAACGCAAAACTATCATTTTATTCAAACTCAGTAAAACGCTGACCGCTTGACACCATATTTTGTCTGTGAGTTGGACTCGGTGAAACTAAAAAAACCTAAAAGAATTCGGATCTGTGCATTATTCAACCAGAGTTATGAGCGTTTTAGTAGATTTCCAGCCTTCAGATAAACTCAGTTACGAGATTTTCATTTGAAATCTTGTCCATAAACTGATCTCCTGATTACTAGAGTATCCTACGAATTTCAGTTCAGAGTTTTTCATAAATAACTGGTCCACAGGCCAAAGACTCAAATAAAGTGGTTATAACTCTGATTGAATAATGCATGGAGTCAAACCCATTTAAGGTTTTCTTAGGTTCACTGAATACTACTCATAGCTCACCCTTTTCTAGAGACTTCATCTTTAGAGATTTATTATTAATGATTTTCTCAACTTGAAGCACTCTTGGTGTTCTTTTTAATGTTTAAGGCAACGAAAAAGATTACAAACAAATCTTGTTAAATAATTTCGATAATCACTTTCACTGTCGATCATCCATAGATCTTACACCTATATAATATCAAACTTTTACCTTTCTTAGTTTGTGTTTGAATATTTTGATCTTTGACTTCATCATCATTATCACTGGTTTTCTTTTCAGTATTTGTTTGTGATTGATTGCGTGTTGCATTCATATCTTCTTGACTTATTATAGTTAATGTTTTTTCAATTGATGGTTGTGGTCGATCATGCCATAATTCTTCTTCATACCATCTTAAACCATCATCGATAATTTTTGCTACTTCAGCTGATACTTTAGCTCTTGGTGTATAATCACCTGTACGATCATGATTTTGTTGATTATGTTTACGATTTGATGGGGGTGTTGGTGTTATAATAAGAATTTTATCAATATCATCATCATCTAATTCAAAATCTGATTCATCAGTTTTACTAAAATAAAAATTCTATTGAAAAAAACAAAATCTAATTAATAAATTAGATAATAGCGTACTGTTCTTCATATAGATCAAGTGTTAATGATGTTGTTCGACGTCGATTTTGTGAACAAAATAAAGGTAAATTTATTTGTTTATTTGGTAATTCTTCATCAAATTTAAACTCTAATTCTTCACGATTATCTTGTTTTAATGATTGTTCTGATGATTGAACCTGAGATTGTTCTTTTTTTTCCTAAATAAAAAAGAAAAAACATAATAAAAATAATTTGTTAAAGAATTATTTTTAAACCTTTTTCTTTGTTGGTTTTTTACGTCTTGTTGATTTATGATTCCAATCAATGTTAGTTTTTGTTTCTTCTTTCTCTAATAATGGTGTTTGATTATCTATATTTCAAAATAGTATTAAAAAAAAACGTCTTAAGAACAAGTGTGAATAAGGTTATTTTTCGGCTTCTCATAGATTTGAGATTTTCTATGCGAATAGAGTTACGGATGATACTCAATCATATTCTACGGATCAAAACTACGATAAGCGACATCATGGTTTTTGAAGCCTGGGAGTAGTCTCTCGAGGGATTGGAGGAAAATTTTTTTCTCAATATCGATTGCAACATACCTAGTGATATCAATTCAGGTAAACGGATTACAAATATGATATTCATAATGAAAACATATTTAAGGATCTATGCCTGATTGTGCTCATTCTATTTATTTGAATAGTCGATGCTGCTTCAACATGAAAGTTTGTGACAATAGGTAACTTTTGGAACTCTGCCCAGTGACATTTTAAAAAGAGTCGAAAAAGTGTGCATTAAGATTTTCCAGAAGACTTCTAAAGATCCCGGCAAAAAAAAATACACAGATCTCTAGAAAACCGACAGTGCCATTGTGTTTCACATAGACAGAAACTTACATATCCACATTTTTGAAGCAAAGCATGGTTGCTATGAAGCATAACAAAACTGACTTTATATTAAAGGACATGCGATACAGATAATACAAGTCTTTGTTCTCATGATTGATGAGATCGACTAGAATTTCTGAAAATTTGAAAATATAGGTTTCTGACCATATGGAACACGATGTCGCTGTCTTTTTTTATAGACCTGAGTTTTTTTGTTGAAATCTCCAGAAATTCTCTGGAAAACCTTGATGCACACCTTTTTCGACTCTTTTAAAAATACTACTGGATAGAGCTGTAAAAGTTACCTATCATCACAAAATTTCATCTTGAAACAGCATCGACTCCTCAACTAAGATGAGCTCAATGAAGCGTAGATGTTTAAACACGTTTTCCCTTGCTTATTAACTCAACTCTACCCCGCATGTAATACAATTCTATTTATTATGAATATCATATTCGTAATCAGTTTACCTGAATTGATATAACTATGTATGTTGCAATCGAAATTGAGGACAAAAATTTTTTTTCGAATCCTTGAGGATAATTCCAGGTCCCAAAAACCGTGATGTCATTTATCGCAATTCTTGACCACGTGGAATACAACCAAGCATCACTCGTAACTCGATTCCGATACAAAAATCTCAAATCTATGGAGAGCCAAAAAATAGCCTTATTCACTCTGGTTCTTTAGATTTCATACTATGATTTTCATTCTTCCAAATTTTTCCAGGTTGAAAATCTGGAACATCAGGATTCAATGCTGTTAAATGATTGTTTACATCAATCATCAATGGCCAACGATCAGGTTCATTTCGACAACGTACCATACATTTATCATTAAGTTCAACAACAAGACTATCTTGAACTGCCTACATATAACAAAAAAGACAACAATTTTTTTTTTTGTATAAAGAACATTTTCAAACCAACATTAGCAATTAGATGAATATCATTACATAATGATCGAACACGATTAAAACTAGCAATTAATGAAAGTGGTACATAACCATCTTTAGTCATTTGTCGTCGAAGAAATATATCTACTTGAAGATTTTCTGGACTAAAATAATATTCACTAAAAAAAACAAATAAAAGATGATAAAAAACATTTTTTTTTTGAAAAAAAAACCACTTACACTTGACGTCGAAGAAGCTCCTTTAATTGTTGTTCAGTATAAGCAGGTACAATTGGAGTTACATACTCAGCCATATTAGTAAAAGATATATCTATATCTGTTGGTGGAGTTGTAGGTTCATAATAGTAACCACTTTCAATATATGGTAATACAAATGAACAATCATCAATAACGACAGTTTCATCATCAAATATAAATTTATGAACATCATGTGTTGCATTATTAATACCTGTGATAATACGAAAATAAATATCTATATGATAAGAAAGTAATGATAAAATTCTATTTCTTTATAGAATCTTTTATTTCTTGCAGTGGAACAAACTTAAACAATAGTAGTGTAATCAAGAGGACGCACATTTAATCGATGACAGAGAGGCTATTCAACTTCTCCTTAATTATACCTCTAATAAACAGTCAGATGAAGCAAATTTTCAAGAACCATAGACACCAATAGGTAACTATTAAATAAACAATGTATAAAGTAAAATTTTTTTCAATGTCATTTCATCGTGTTCATGTATTTTTTGTGTATTGCAAATTGTTTAGACTTAGTATATATTTTAACGAATGATTTATAATAAACTTTAAATAAATTATCTAATCGATAATTATATATTAATTTCTATGACATGTAAAATATATTCATGCAATTGTTTCTCTTCGTTTTCATATCTTTATGTTCATAAGTGTCTGATTTCATTGTTTGTCTATCGAAGAGATATATAGTATTCGAGATATACACCAATAGTATTCCAGTAGTTATTAAAAAGACATTTTTTTTTACCTGTTTCATCTCCAATTGGATTGATATTAACAGATCCTTCAGATTTCTTTTTTCGTTTACCCTGTTTATCTGGATATAATTTTACTGGATTTCCTGCTTGATCATAATCTTAAGCAAAACAAAGAACAAAAGAGAAAATAATCATCTCAATTTGAAATAGTTTTAACATACAATAATAAGAATAATAATCTTGATATGCATTATAAACACTTGGTGTTATTCGATTCTTTCGATTTCGTTTAGGAATAGTACCATCAAGACTACGTGTACGATTTCGATTATTTGCACGACCACCACGAGAATTTCGTCTCGTACGATTTCCTTTTGTTGTCGTTGTTGCTTTTGTAGTATTTGGAGAATCAGTTGATGATATTGTTGTTGTTGTTTTATTACCTTCATTATTCTCAAATGGTATTGGTAACCATTTTTGTTTCCCTAAGCGGAAATTTTATTTAATAAAAAAAAAAAAAAACAACAATAAAGATAATACCTTTTTTATTATGTGTCCTTGGTGTATTTGGTTGTGATGAAATTATTTGTTCATCCGATGCCTCAACAAGACTTGGCCAATCTTTTGGCTAGACAAAAAGATTAAGCAGAAAAAGAAATATATGTATATCGAATAATGAAAAAATTTTTTTATCATACAGGTAAACCACCTGAATCTGGTGGCGTATCTATAGTAGTAATATTTGAATTAATTGATGAGGATTGTTGCCAAGCTGAACAGTTATTTGAATTTACTATGGCTGTTTCGTTTGGCATGATTCCTCTTGTTCTTGTCAAAATAAAATTTTTATTAAATTACAAGATCTTAAAAGAAAATTGAATTTATTATTCGTTACGTTTTTATATCATTCTTAAGAAAAGAAAAAGGATTAATAACAAAGAAACGTCAAGGATATGTTAGCACGTGAGATTGTGGTCTATATATATATATAGTTATTTTTAGTTATTTCGTATATATATCTAAGTATTAAGATCAGATGCATTTTTTTTATTCGTATAAGTAATAAACTATGGAGTGTAGTATTTTCATTTAATTGGTTCGAGTTTTTCACCGTTTGAATAAAATAAAAATGATTATTATTATGTGAAATATTCCATGCCTTATGTGAATATATTTTTATTTCAAGTAAATTGTCAATATTTGATATAGATTATTTCATTATCAATAGTGTTTAAAACGAAAAGATAAATAAATATGTGAATATGCTTGATGTCGCTAGAATCGGATAAATCTATGGTTTGTATAACATTTATTTGTTGCAATGGAGAATATCGATTTTTTCGATACGATAGTAAAACCCTGTAAAAATGTGTTCATATTCAGAATCAGCAGAAAAATTTGCATTAAATAGTATACTTAGTACTCAAAATAAGTTTTCATTAAATTTCAGTCCTTACATCTATTGTCAAATACTCTGACATGTAGTTCCCTTAAAGTCAAGGTTTGACAAAAAAATTAATTTCAACTATTGAGTTTTCCATTCAATGAAAAATTTTTCTTCTGATTCTGAGTATGAATCTGTTTTAATGGGTTTTGTTATTATATTGAAAAAATGAACTTTCTCAACAATGAAACTATTCCCATTAAGAACTTTATTTGTGTCAAGTTTGAACTCGAAAATTGATTTACAAAGTGATCTAAGAGAGAGAGAGATCACAATATTTTCTTTAAAAAAAAAACTTACTAAAATGTCTATGATCTACGAACAAAAGTTGATAGACACTAATTTTTTTTTAAAGCTTTCTCTCTCCTCCCAATCGAACATGAAATAAGAGTCACCTCAAACCGATTTATTCATTGGAAAGATTTCCTCATTAGATTAAGAATCGTGAGAATAAGTTTTATTCACAATGTGCTTATTGATCATGAATATACATAAAAATTGGTCGCATACTAACTCATTTGTTGCTCAGGGCGGTCTATTTTCTTTCAACTCAACTATCTTTTTCAATCGGTTTGCTAGCATATGTTGGTGAACCAATTGAAAAAGATAGATGAAAGAAAAGTGACCGTCCTTAGCAATATATGAGTTAACGCATGGCCAACAAGCTAATTATGAATAAAGCTCATTATTATATGTCAAAATTCTGATTAAAATTTTTAAATTCATTGAACAGATTAATTAATAAACAATAGAATAAGATTATTAATAGGGAACTAATATTACTTATGAATTCTTTATTATTCCTTAATCAATCAAATACATTCCTTAATCTACAAGTTTGATTTTTTTTTATCGATAAGAATGAAAAAAGTTTCTAATACAAAAGTTAATTAATATTAATTTGTTGGACATGAATATTCAATTCCATCAACTAAATGAAGTGCTTTAGCATGTCGAATTGAATTATGTTCATCATTATCATTATCAATAGCAATGATTTTTAAATTTGTTATACAACCACTATAAACAGGTATATCATCAACAATAGCTGGTAAATTATTCATTCTACCAATATATAATGGTCCATTTGTATTTAAATCATAATCAATTGATAATAATTCTTCATCTGGGTCATATTTATCAACATATAAACGAATAAATGTTAAATCTTTTTGAATATCAACTGTATGCCAATGACCATCACACACTTCATTATCATTAATATCATTTGGCCAATGAACAACATGAACTTCATCAATACTATTTTGCAATAATGTAACAACAATATTACCTTTATCAAGATAAATAAATAAATAACTATCATCATTTATACTTGTTGAAGCTAATAAAAGACCACTTTTAACACGAGATTTAAAATGAAATGATATATTAAATCGTTGACCAAGACGAAATGAATTTTCTAAAAACAAAAAAAAAGACAGTTCTCAGCATCATCCTAATAAGCTAAATGTCTAGATAGGCAAGGAAAAAAATATATATATGAAAAAGGATCGAATTCAAATCTCTCGTTTCAGATATTCCATGGATAAAAATCATGCCACTAGGTTAGCGGTCCATGTTTCCACTATTCGAACTTACTTTTGAGGCTATCCGATTTACTACAGTAATAAAATATGATCAAAATGTTCCTGTCTCATGATATTGACGCCTAGTCTAACGTAGAGATGTGCAGAGTTACCATATTTTATCCTGAATATCTCTAGTCTCACGAGCGGTTGAAATTTCGACCCAAGGAATATTCGGACGCGATCTCAGTTTACCTCATTAGTCCCCATAAGCAGTCCTATTTCTATGAATGATCAGTACACTCCATATACTGAGCACTATGGAATGTAACAACTATTCATAGATATAAGGCTTTTGATAAGGATTAATGAAGTAAATTTCAGACTGAGCCGATATTCATGTAATCCATTTAGATTAATATTGATATATCGGTCATCAAGAATTTCTATGTAAGCTGTTCTGGGTTTTTCCTTCTTTTTGCAGCTGTTATTCAGACTTCTTATTAAGGAAGAGTTATGGCTGAAGTCAATAACAGCTATTTGTCTCAGATCATACGTCCAATAGCATGCTGTCTACGTTATGACATACATCTGCTCTTGTGACTAGACAGCGCCTATGGGGAGCGCAAGAGCTCTGGGTCAGATCAACCTTCTATCCAGAGCTAAAGTTAGTATTAGTTATAGGGAAAATATCGAACTACTGAATATGCCGCTTGGTAGGATCTCATATCGCAACGTAGCCGAAAGACATAGATATTCTTCCTTCTTATCAAGACCTGTCTTGTTTGAAAAACTTTAGAAAGAACACAAAAATGAATCCTTTCGTGATATTTTGTATATAACAGAAAAAAAAACCAACGAGATAATTTTCTTATTTACCAAGTATTATTTCTTGTTCACCATTAATAAAAACTCCTGATTCTTCATTTTCAAAACATGTTTTTATATTAAAATTATATTCATTATTAACATTGATATCAAATGTTATTGGTTGATTATTAATTTGTATTGTACTTATACAACCTTGAAATTGAAGATGATTATGTCGATTTTTGAAATGATGTAATTGACGACGACGATGTGAAAGAAATTTTTCATCAGATGGAATATTACCAAAATGATATATTCCATCTGTTTCTAAGGTTAATTTACTACCTAAAATCAAAAAAGAACAACTTTATGAATTTTTATGATGACAATAAAATAATTAACCTGGTGGAATTATAAAACCTTCGAAAAGTAAATCAATAAATAATGTTGCATTATTTCCATTTCTTATAATATCAACTTGATGCCAATTATCATCATTTAATCGATTTATACTTTCGATTTCACCTTTACCTGAACCACAATCAAAAGCAAAAACTAATCGACCTTTATGAAGCCATACAGCAATAAATTCATTTAATACATATGAATTATAAGCTAAATAAAAAGTTGCAAAAAAAAAAAAAAAAGAATTTTTACTTATAAATATAACTATACTTACGATCACTGCCTGAATAGAATAATAAACCATGTGTAAATTGAGTTCGAAATTTAAATGAAATATTCATTGAAAGACTAATTGATGGTTCGATTATTGTTATAAGTGCACGACTTTCACGATGATCATCACCAAATCGATAACCAATCTCTCGACCACGATCATTTGAAGGTGTTCGAGGTAAACGACATGAACGACGAGTACGAAATGATTCTTCATCTTCATAATTGTTATCTTCATCTTGTTCTTGTTCTTCGATTGAAACAATACTAGTAGATTTTGTGACTATTGTCATGATGGTGGTGGTGGTTGTTGTCGTCATCGTTGTTGTTGTTGTTGTTGTTGTAGTTATAGTTGTTTTTTTAGGTTGAAATGTAGTACTAGTAAGTTCATCGATTATTTCAGTTGATGGAAACATCGCAGAGTTTAGACTTTTGTTGTTTGAATCATCATTCAGTTGAAATAATTTGAGTTGATATCTCTCTGGATATGTTTGTTGACTAGCATTATAATCAAATGGTGGATAAACTACAGGTCCTTTATTATAATTATTATTAAGAATTCCATTACTTTGACAATTTCGTTCAGCGTTTTTTAATTTAATAACATTATTAAAATTAATTAATGAACCATCTATATTAACATCTCCAATACAACCAATTAAACGTTGCATATCATTTGATATAGTTTGTGGTACACCACCAATAAATATTGTTTTAAATAATTGATAATTATTATATTCACTTTCAATATCTAATTTTCCACATTCTGTATCATTTAAATATAAACGATAAGATTGTGTATCACGATAAATACTTATATAATTCCACCAATTAGTTGATAAAATATTTTCACATCGTATTATTGGTAAATCTTTATGTTTAATCATAAGATAATTTTGTTCAAAATAAATTATTAATTTATTCATATATTCATTTTCATTATTCATATATAATAATGTACCTGATGATTGAGTTGTTTGAAAACGTGCTGTTATAGCCCATGGTAGTGTTAAATTTTTTTCTGATATTTCAACATAACTTTCTTGATCAAGATAATTAAATTGTACTGTATGTAAAATTTGTTCAATTGAACATGTTGTTTCAACATTTCCACTACGTTTAAAATGTTCAGATTTAAATGTTAATTCAATACGATCAATAAGTATTGATTGTATACAACCACTAAAACCTCGACTTGTTATTGCATCACGTAATGAATCTTGTCCAAAATATTTTCCAACATAAATATTATCATTTCCACCTTCAATACGTGATTCTTCATCACGATCATATATAGATGATGATTGTTGATTATCAAGTTGAACAATAATTTCTGTATTTTGTTTTTTTATTTGTA